AGCGCGGGAGGCACCTCCGCCCGGCTCGCGCACTCGCTCAGCACGCTGGCGTGCTCCGCGGCCGCCATCCGCACGCAGTGCAGCTGCCGCTGGAAGAGCGAGGCGAGGAGGCGGCGCAGCCGGCGCGCCTCGCGCCCGCCGCCGCCGGCGCGCTCGATGGCCGCCTCGACGTACCGCTTGGCGCGCAGCATCTCGTCGCTGGCGGCCGCTGTGACGGCGCCAGTCTCGAGCTCCACGAGCCGCAGGTGCGCCGGCCGCACCAGCAGCGGCGGTCCGGAGCCCCAAAAGCCGTCCGACATGGCGGCGCCCTCTCCGGAATCCAGCGCGACGGCGAGCCGGCCGCGCGCCGAGTCGTAGGACTTGGCGACACCGACCTGTCCGTTGAGATCGGCGCGGGCAGTCAGCCCTTGCAGCTCCACCCGCTGGCCCACAAAGTCGCTCGGCAGGAGGTTCACGCTCGTGGTGGTGGCGCGCCCGCGTGGGGGCATATATCACGCTAGATCGGGTTGGCGGCGAGGGAAAGACGCCGGCACCGGGACGGAGGCGCGCACACAAAGAAGGATACTCTCTCGTTTTGCTGTTCACAGCTAGGGACGGCCTCTGCGGCAAAGTCTCATCAACTCACCCCCACCACCCTACCACCTCCCACCACGGCTAACCTTCGGCCCCCGCTCAGAGGCTCGCCGGGCCCGTGCGGCGCGCCGAGGCGGCGCCGAGGCCGGCGCCTTGCACCCGGCCCGCGGCCGGCACCACCTCGCCCCACAACTGACCGTCCTGCGGCCCCTGCGCAGGCGTGCCGCAGGCGTCGCTCAAAAAGCGACGGCCGGGTGTGGGCTGCTCCCTTGCCCCGGCACCCGCCGCGCCGAGGCGGCGCCGAGGCCGGCGCCTTGCACCCGGCCCGCGGCCGGCACCACCTCGCCCCACAACTGACCGACCTGCGGCCCCTGCGCAGGCGTGCCGCAGGCGTCGCTCAAAAAGCGACGGCCGGGTGTGGGCTGCTCCCTTGCCCCGGCACCCGCCGCGCCTCGCCCGGCTGCCTCACCGCGCACGGAGCGCTCGGCGGCTCGCCGCCGCCGCCGCGCGTCCCGCGCCGCCGCGCTTGCCCACCCTTGCCCTGACGCGCGCTCTGTGCAGCCGCGCAGAGCGCGCGTCACTGGCACAGACGGAGCAGCGGCCGCGCCAGCGGTCGCTGCTCCGCCCCTCCGTCGCGCGCGCCGCGCGCGGCGTTTCTGCCGCCGCCGGCGGCGGCCCCCTTCTCGCCGGTTTCCCCACCCCCTACCCCAGCTTATGCTCGGTTACACCGGTGACAGCGCAAGATGCGTACTCTCGACACACCATTTTCACTTTTTCCGGTTTAAAAACTCATGACCAATCCACTGCCCTGAATCCAATTCTACATGCTCTCCACCTATTTGCGAACATCATGACCAGCCCCCTTTTCTCACCCGCAATTCTCCCACG